TAATCTGTGGGAAGATGTGTAGTAGTCTACTGCCATAAAGATTACAGTCTTGAAAAACGTACAGGGCAATTCATTCTACTCTGTTCTATAGGGTTGCAAAGTCAGAATAAGCTCAAAGGCAGTGAACTTTTTAATGTAATTTTACATACCTCGCCTGGAAAAGAACTATTCAAATTTAAATTCAAATTTAGCCATGTTATCTGCCACTGTTTAAAGTCCTTCGATGGCGGCTCAGCTCCCCATTATTCCTTGGTACATCTGGTGTGACTTGTAAAATAATGTTCCTTACCTCTAGGTTCCCTCAAAGCACTCCCTTGACTTTACTCAGACTGCATGCAGACACCTGAATATATAAGCCTTTACACCCCACTGTGCCTTGGTCCACACGGAGCTTTCTGCCTAGAATATTGCTACCTCTGCTCCTTTCTTGCCTTCTGTGCCCCTAGTTATCTTACAGCAATTAAACTTAAAGTTTATTGCCTATCTGAAGCCTTCCTGATCCCTGTACGTTGTTGTTAAGTGATATCGAGTCAGTTCTGAGGAATGCCTGGTGAGTTTGAATCACTGATAGTGCCGTTCAAACCAATCTTCAGTCCAGCACATTATCCTGTAGCACCACACCAGGACTCCAGATCTCTGTATGTTGTTGTTGTTAAGTGCCATTGAGTCAATTCCAACCCATAGCAACACTGTATAGGGTTTCCGAGGAGCAGCTGGTGAGCTTAAACCGCTGACCTTGCAGTTCAAATGGCTTTGCAGTCTGGCTCATTAACCCACAGCGCCATACCAGGACTCCATACCTATCTATTAAAGTGTCCACTCCCTACTTTGTGTTCTTTATCTATGTGTTGTTGCTATTGTTACGTGCTGCTGAGTCAGTTCCAACTCACAGACACCCTTAGTAGGATTTCTGAGGAGCAGCTGGTGAGTTTGAGCTACTGACCTTGTGGTTAGCAGTCCACTGCTTATCCTACAGTGAGGCCACACTAGGACTCCATATCTGTCTATCTATGCATCTGTCTGTCTATCTATCTATGGTGTGGCTGTGTGTCGACTCATAGTGATCCTATATAGGGTTTCGGAGGTTTTATATTTTTATGGGAGCTGAAAGTTTTATCTTTCACCTGAGGAAGAGCTGGTCCATTCTATCTGCTGACCTTATAGGTAGCAGACCAGCCATAATCCAGTATGCTAACAGGACTCTATTTGGTGTGAGTGACGCAGAGTAACTTTTTACGTTGTTGTTAAGTGCTATCGAGTCAGTTCCAACTGGTGGTTGTTGTTAGGTATCATCGAATCAGTACCAACTCATAGCGACCCTATGCACAGCAGAACAAAACACTGCTTGGTCCTGGGACAACCTCACAATTGTTGCCATGCTTGAGCCTACTGATGCTGCCATACTGCCACTCCATCTCACACTGGGGATCTTCCTCTTCTTCTCTGACCCTCCACCTTACCAAACAAGATATCCTTCTCCAGAGACTGGTCCCTCTTGACTATATGCCTGAAGTATGACAGACAAAGTTTGGCCATCCTGGCCTCCAAGGAGCACTCTGGCTGTACTTCTTCCAACACAGATCTGTTGGTTATTTTGGCAGCCCATGATACTTTCAATAATCTCCTCTAACACCATAACTCAAAAGCATCAATTCTTCTACAGTCTTCCTTATTCACTGTCCAGCTTTCACATGCATATGAAGTTTGGCAATACCATGGCTTGGGTATGGCACACCTTAGTCCTCAAGGTGACATCTTTGTTCTTCAACACTTTAAAAGGGTCTTGTGCAATAGATTTGCCTAATGCAATACACGTTGTTTGACTTCTTGACTGCTGCTTCCATGAGTGTTGATAGTTGATCCAAGAAGAATGAAGTCCTTAACAACTTCAATCTTTTCTCCACTGATAGGAATGTTATTGGTCCAGTGGTGAGGATTTTTGTTTTCTTTACATCGATATACAATCCATACTGAAGGCTGAGGTCTTTGATCTTCATCAGTAAGTATTTTAAGTCCTCTTCACTTTCAGCAAGCAAGGTTGTATATCGCAGGTTGTTAATGAGTCTTCCTCCAATCCTGACACCATGTTTTTCTTCAAAGAACCCAGCTTCTCATATTATTTGCTCAGCATACAGGTTAAATAAGTATGGTGAAAGAACACAACCTTGTCGCATATGAACAAGAACCAAAGATACTCAGGGAGGAAGTCTAAAGTGCATTGAAAGAATCGGCAAAGAATAAGGCACCAGGTGGGATATATTCAACGTCAAATTTTGGCTCTCATGAACTTGTTTTCATTTTCTTCAGCTTCACTTTGAATTTGCCTATGAGCAATTGATGGTCAGTTCCACAATCTGCCCCTGGCCTTGTTTTGACTGGTGATATGGAGCTTTTCCACCATCTCTTTCCACAGATGTAGTCAATTTGATTTCTGTATATTCCACCTGGTGAGGTCCATGTACATAAAACTATGGCCTTGGTGACAGAAATGATGCTGGAGCTCTCACACTAGAATTCTGCAAAATCAATGAGTTGTTCATTTCTGACTCATAGAGACCTTCTATAGGGTTTCCAAGGAAGGCTGGTGAGCTTGACTACCAACCTCGCAGTTCAAACTTACCTTAAACAGTACAGTGCATTAACCTAAAGCACCACACCAGAACTCCAATTTTCTATGAGGGGCATATTATTATTTGCTCTATCTAAAGATAAGGAAACTGAGGGAGATAGAAAAAGCATAAACTATCTTGGCCTTCTCTTTCAAAGGATTTTTTTACAATATGGATTAAATACATTTCAAAAAAAAAAAACAGGAAGTTTTTTTTTTCTTATAATACATTTTCTTCATCTTTTATTTCTTTACATTTAAAAATGACAATGCAACTAGTTTTTAAAAAACTCTACTTGGTCTAGGTAATGTTTGTCAAGAGCTAATAAAATAACTATCATTAGACCAATATAAAGGAATACTAAAGCTGAACACACTTTTAGAAACCTGATAGGTAATGAATAAATTGATGATATAAACAGGCATTTATGAATATGTATGTGTGTTGTTGTTGAGGTGGTTCTGACCATAGCGACCTTGTATAGGGTGGTTTCTGAGGAGTGGCTAGGCTAGCGAGCTTGAACCACCAGCCTTGCAGTTCAAACTGACTTAATGCAGTCCAGTGCATTAAGCCACAGTGCCACACCACTAGTCCACGAATAGATATATGTGTATATATGAACTGCAAGGTTAGTGGTTCAAGCTCACCAGCTGCTCCTTGGTAACCCTATACAGGGTCATCATGGGTCAGAATTGACTCGATGGCACTTAACAACAACAACATATACACATAGGAGCTCTGGTAGCATAGTGGTTATGAATTGGGCTGCTAACCTAGAGGTCAGCAGTTCAAAACTACCAGCTGTTCTGTGGGAGAAAGATGAGGCTTTCTGCTCCCATAAAGATTTATAGCCTCAGAAACCCAATACAAGGTCACTATGAGTTGGACCCAATTCCACAGCACACCATAACCACCACCACCATATATGTGTTTGTTTGTGTATATATAGATATAGATATAGATACAGATCTACCTATATCTACAGACACAGTATATATATATAGATATATATATAGATAGATATATTATCTATATACATAGGTAGATACATATCTATATATATATATAGAGAGAGAAAGAGAGTATGTGTGTGTGTGTGTGAGTCCTGGTGTGGCGCTGGGGGTTAATGCGCTGGACTGCAAAGTTGGTTTGAACTACATGGTCAGTGGTTCAAGCTCACCAGCCACCCCTTGGAAACCCTATTCAGGGTTGCTAAGAGTTAGAAAGGAGCTCTGGTAGCACAGTGGTTACAAAACGGGCTGCAAACTGCAAGGTCAGCAGTCGAAACTTCAGCTGCTCCACGGGAGAAAGACGAGGCTTTCTGCTCTAGTAAAGATTACAGCCTCGGAAACTCTGTACAGGGTCACTATGAGTCGGAATCAACTCCATGGCACATAACAACAACAACAACAACAAGAGTTAGAACCAACCTGACAGCACTTAACAAAAACAACATGTCTCCCTAACCCAGATTATTTAAATCAATTCCCTAATATATCATTCAATATGACACTGCTCATTATTAACCTCCCCAAAGGTTAAGATATCAATACAGAGTCTTTGATACTTCTGGTGTGGCACTGTAGGATCAGCATTGGACTGCAAACCACAGGTCAGTGGTTCAAACCCACCAACTGCTCCTCAGAAACTCTGTACAGGGCCACTATGGATCAGAATCAACTTGACAGCACTAACAACAATAGGGTAACCAGGCCACCCAAAAACTGACAGGCACAAACTCTGACATGTGACATCCAGTTACAACAGCTTCATGAGATTCTATTCTTTCAAGTAAGTAACAAGGAATTATCTATGCTTGTTGTTAAGTGCTGTCGAGTCGGTTCTAACTCATAGCGACCCTGTATAGGGTTTCCAAGGAGTGACTGGTGGATTTGAACCACAATCTTGTGGTCAGAAATACAAATCTTATCCTCCAGCAGTACACCAGGACACAGTGTTAAAAGGAAAAAAAAAAACCATATTAACAACTAAGTAAAAAATTCTGCTAACAAAGCCTTTGTTCCCTTAACTGTCTTTCTTCTAATAAATAATATTAACTGAAAAGTAGAATCTTATTCTTCATAAGTCATTACATCAATATTTCACTATTAAAAAATCTGATTCAAAGTTCCTTTTCAGAAACAAATATGAACAATATTTTTGACAGAAACAGGAACTTTAGTAACAAAACTCTTTTTAGCCCTAATACAAATGTCTGGTAAAATTTTTAAGTGCTACATTAAAATAAAACATTAAACACTTGCTAATATTATACATAGTAGAGAAGAGTGGGAGACATTTTGATCTATAAGCATGCTATATGATATTTGAGAAGAGGAATCAAATGTAAAATAAATAAAAAATTTGTCAAAAATAGTTATGAACACTTACTTTGTTGCTGCCTAGACTGTATGATGGAGTAAGATCGTGTCGGCTTCCTGATAACTGAAGAAAAAATAAAAAAGGGAATTATTCCTTTATGTATAAAAGTACATAAACCCATGGTCCATCAGGTGTAAGTCTTTGTAAATGAAATCAACAGAATGTTAAAGTTGGATGGTAGCAGCAAGACTGTTTAGATGGAGGATGCAAAACAGTGGCCTTTGGGGCAATGCAAAAAAAAGAATTAAATAGGATATCAGTAATTTATAAAAGGGAGATCTACATCAAATCCAGATACCCAGTTTACACTGAGGCACCAACTGGCTGAAACGGAGAGATATTTCATTTACTTATTCCCGTCTATTGAAAGGATCCCAGGATATTAGCATATCCTGTTCTTAAATTCTTTCCTCTGTGTAGTTACAGAAAATATATACAATTTATTTAAATTATAATCTGCATATACCAGCCCATTTTAATATGTAATTTTCTGACAGAAAAAGAAGATACGTTACCTTGAATTAAAGTGACACTTCTTAATGTCTAAGAATGGACCACATCTTTCAGTCTGATATGACTACTGATGTGACTCAACAGTTTTGTTCAGAGGCCATGTGCTCTCCAGCTGGGTGGTCTTCCTGTCACTTGCTATTGTCAAACACCAAGCTAAAGGTCAGCAGTTTTTCATTACAATGCTTACACTGTGGTTTTTCTTAAAGTTAAGACAAAGGTGTAATATTTCTCATATCCAAGTCCTTTTCCAAAGTGAGGAAAGAAGAAATAAATCACAAGAGGACCAGGAACATATTTCTTTAAGAGGAATTTATTGCTATGTTTAATATACACCCAAAATATATTGATGTAATTTTTTTTTTAAAGAAGCAAACTTAAGATACTGCTAAAGTACTGGTTATGAGTCATGCTGCTAATCCCAAGGTCAGCAGTTCGAAACTACCAGCTGTTCTGAGTGAGACAGATGAGGTTTTCTGCTCCCATAAAGATGTACAGCCTCAGAAACCCTGTACAGGGTCACTATGAGTTGGAACCGACTCCATGGGACACCAGCACCACCATGAAACAACCATCTATTTTACTAATTTATGCTACCTACCAGGTCTGTAAAACACTGTGATAGCAAAACTAGTAGACTCTTCATCAACTTAAAATGATTAAATGAAATTCAGAATATTTACATGGGACTTGACCTAGGCTCTCGCCTACTTTTGCTTTAGTTCAACAAATATTTATAGAGCACCTACAGTCTCTGTGTTAGGCACAGATATCAAGATAAATGAGAAACCTGTGAAAGGTACTTAAATATTTTCTTTATAATAATAGTCAGAGCATCAACAGAGGGATGCACGGAATGCTGCATGGTTAAAGAACAGGGGCAATTATATCAGCTACAGGAAGGAAATTCCTCCTAAGATGTGATTTAAAGAATGGGAATGAGTTACCCAAGTAAAGAAGAAAGGAGATACAGGGCAGAGCAAAGAATGATGATTCTGTGTACTCACTCTGTTAACATTTGGAGAGCTAATACTCCTCCTATTCAACTTCCCTTTTCCAGTTAACTGTTCCTTCACCGCAACTTCCTATGAACCAAACAATATACAGAGGAAAAATACGTATTAGGGACACATCTCAAAAACAATAGTATCTAACTGATTTAGAAGGTTGGAAATGTAAAGGTAGACATTTTGTAGCAAGGAGGGGAGTGATTAACTTTGCAGTCTAGGAGTGGAGGTCCCTGGACCATCAAGGGAGAAGAGTGGAGAGTGGGACTCTACCCAGAGAAGCAGTGATGCCTAAGATGGGAGGCAGAGAAGATGACGTGGAGAGATGGAGCAGTTGGGGACTTTAGACCCAGAGAGGGAGAGGTGCTGCGTGCTGCCGATCAGGGGGCAGGCTTGTAGTGTACACCCTTTGGTTGGTTGATGATGCATGGAGGGGATTGTAACCATGGCAATGAAATGATATAAGATAGAATGAATGTAATACTAATATTCTCCTCCCGTGTAAACTATCACAATAAAACATAAAACATAAAAAAAAGAAACATACCATTAAAAAAACAACAACAATAGTATCTAAAGCATGCTTTGATCTATAATCTATTCAAACATATTCCTAATTGTTTGCATAATGGCTGTTACTTCACATGACCCAATTATAGTCACTTGATTATTTAAAGTTAATTATATAAGTGACAAGTTATAGAAATGACTGTTTTTTAAATCATATGCTAACTACTGCCTACCTCCTTGTAGCTGGTCAGAAGTTAACCCCAGTATCCAAAAGGAAATAGAGAAAATTAAACATTCATTTTAAATTTTTATTAGTATCTGGGGAAAAGTCTCAATATTGCTAGGTAAAATACGATATGAGATTTCTCTCAGATTTTTTTACTGCTAATAGTCCTATTACCCTCTTCTAGAAATTGACTCTAAGGCTAGAGCAGGTATGTCCAAATAGGCAAAGAAGGACCCATTCTGCCTCATTACTTTATATTTCTTCAGCTGCGGTACCGTCCAATATCAAGGAAATTTAAAAATAATCTTTAGCAGTCAAGAATTAAATATTGTCTTCCTTTACTTCAAGACAACTAGATAACATTTATAGTACATTGAAAAAGTAACTTTTCAAATGTAGCTTTTACATCTTCGAAGATTTAATAGGCCAGAAATTTAAACAAATATGTTCCATTTACACAAACTCCTCAAAAGTTTAGATGTAACAATAGTGCAAATTACAGGAAGTCAAACAGAATTAGGTTAGGTGAGTACTATTGCTAGCAGCTCTGTTGGCTGACCTGGCGAAGACGGTCTAAAGTAAGAAGGTTTTCCACAGCCAGCACGCTTCTGAGGTATTTTTCAATATAAGCCTCTGAGTCAGCAGAAGCTGGGTTTTCAACGTTAGCTGCCATTCTTGCTAATGTTTCTCGTTCCTCTACTCCCTGGGCATCCTTAAGAATGAAAAGTTGAACATTAAAATTCAGTGTTTTATGATAAAAAAAGTTACAAAAGCTCTATGATCTGTACAAGAACACAGAGTTCTGAAACAAACAAATGACATGTACTTCAAAACTTGCATTTTAAAGTCATCTTTAGAACGCAAATACAATTTCCCATAGAAATAAAGTTATAAATAATAAGTTTCTAGGTAAATTTAAAAGACTAGCTAAACATAATGTAGTAACTGAAAACAAAACATTCTCCACAGAAGTGTTTTCCACTAAAATTTCAAGGCAAACAAAAACATTTTCATTGCAAGCCAAAACATTAATTGATAGAAAGGCTTCTATGAGCTAGCCAGAATATAATCACCATATTAACAATGATTCAGGAACGTATCTCCTCACTAGAAGTCTTGAGGGACAGAAGACTGGGATGAGGAGCTAGGGTAACCAGGCTGATAAGGGTGGAATCCAAGGAATCCTAGTAGGAAGTAGATATAGGTATGGAGAATGTTGCTGTTATGTGCCCTTGAGTTTTTCTACCCATAGCAACCCTGTATAGGGTTTCCGAGGAGCAGGAAGTGAGCTTGAACTGCCAACCTCGCAGTTCAAACTGACCTTGCAATCCAGTGCATTAACCCACAGTGCCACATCAAGACTCCAGGTATGGAGAACAGGAATGATAATAAAGGCTAGATTTCAATTCCAGCTACTAAGAAGCTTACATATTCAAAGTGTGGCAGCTTCTAAAACTGGTCCTTAATTGTGGAGTAGCAATGGCCATGGGTCCACAACAGATCAAGAAGAGAAGTTTCTAGGTAATTTCTTATTCACTCTGCTTTCTGGTAGTGCCTATTCCTTCTCCTCTAGCATGGGTTGGCCACGCATATAAACACATATATGAAGGAGCTTCAAAAAATTATTGGAAAAACAGAACTAAAAGATACTGGAAAATTTCCACAAACTTTTTGAAGCCCCCCCGTTACATGGGCTATTCATAAATCAGAGATAGTCTTTATTAAATGTATTTAATTATTTCAAGCAAACTTGGTTCATAATAAATTACTCTTCTCAGGGAAAATCAGTATTTTATTTACAAGTGAATTTGTTATAATAATGTCAAACACTATAAAATATATATCCATATTTCATTAGATTTTAAGATGCTAGCAACTGTAAGACAAAAAAATTATTTTATATACCACTGAGATAAAAAAAGTTTCTGCCAATTAATTTTAAGATGTCATCAATCATATGAAACATTCCAACTTCAAAAATATCTTTAAAAAAATTTAAACAAGTCTTAGAATAGAGGAAAAAAATTGAAAGAATTTCTTAAATGGTTTAAAGTTCAGAAAACTTTGTCACCTACAGTAATTCATTAGAGCTTTGTAATAATCCTAAAAAAGAAGGAATCATCCTCATTTTATGAGTGATGAAAAAGGCATTCACATAATTAGCAAGAGAGGCAAGATGAGAACTTAGGCCTTCTTACTCCTGATAAACAGTATTCTTTTCACTACCTAACACAAAATACTTTGGGTGTTGTTGTTGTTGGGTGCCATCAAGTCGGTACCGACTCACAGCGACCCTATGCACAGCAGAATGAAACACTGCCCAATCCCAGGCCAAACTCACTGCCGTTGCCACACTTGAGTCCATTGATGCTGCCACTTGGCCAATCCATCTCGTTGGGAGTCTTCCTCTTTTTCTCTGAACCTTCACCTTACCAAACATGATATCCTTCTCCAGCGAATGCTCCTACCTGACAACATGTCTGAAGTAGGAGAGACGAAGTCTGGACATTCTGGCCTCCAAGGAACACTCTGGCTGCACTTCTTCAAAAATGGATCTATTGGTTCTTTTGGCAGCCCAATGGCACTTTCAGTATTCTTCTCCAACACCACAACTCAAAAGCATCAATTCTTCTACGGTCCTCCTTATTCACTGTCCAGCTTTTGCATTCATACGAGGTTACTGAAAATACCTTGGCTTGGGTCAGGCGCATCTTAGCCCTGAAGCTGACATCCTTGCTCTTCCAACATTTTAAAAAACGTCTTATGCAGCAGATTTGCCTAATGCAATACATTGGTTGATTTCTTGACTGCTGCATCCATGAGTGTTGACAGTTGATACAAAAAGAATGAAGTGCTTGACAACTTCAATCTTTTCTCCAGTGATAAGAATGTTGTTTATTGGTCCAGGATTCTTGTGTTCTTTATATTGAGATGTAATCCATACTGAAGGCTGTGCTCTTTGGCCTTCATCAATAAATGTTTTGTCCTCTTCACTCTCAGCAAACAAGGTTGTATCATCTGCATATCACAGGTTGCTAATGAGTCCTCCTCTAATCCTGATGCCACGTTTTTCTTCATATAATCCAGCTTCTCGGATTATTTGCTCAGCATACAGGTTGAATAAGTATGGTGAAAGAATACAACCTTGTTCTTAATTTTAAAACATTCAGCGTTCCCATGTTCTGTTCTAACAACTGCTTCTTGGTCCAGGTACAGATTCCTCATGAGCACAATTAAGTGTTCAGGAATACTCATACTTCACAATGTTGTCCATAGCTTGTCATGATCCACACAATCGAAAGCCTTTGCATAGTCAATAAAGCACAGGTAAATATCTTTCTGATATTCTCTGCTTTCATCCAAGATCCATCAGACATCAGCAATGATATCCCTCATTCCACAGCCTCTTCTGAATCCGGCTTGAACCTCTAGAAGTTCTCTGTCAATGTATGCTTGCAGCCATTTCTGTATTACCTTTAGTAAAACTTTACTCGCATGGGATATTAAAGAGATTGTCCGATTACTCCTTGTAGGCGCATGGATATTTTCCTATCACAGACACCGTTGTACCTCATGACTGATCTGGATATGTTCTTTTTGACAATGAATGCAACACCATTCCTCTTCAATTTGTCATTACCGGCATAGTAAACCATGTGCTTGTCAAATTAAAAATGGCCAATACCAGTCCATTTCAGCTCACTAATGCCTAAGATATAGATGTTTATGCGTTTCATTTCATTTCTGACAACTTCCAATTTTCCCAGATTCATACTTCGTACATTCTATGTTCCGATTTTCAATGGATGTTTACAGCTGTTTCTCTGCATTTTGAGTTATGCCCCATCAGCAAACGAAGGTCTCATGGGCTTTTATCCCACTGCTTTACTCCATTCACATCATCACAGTCACCTCTACTTTGAGGAGGCAGCTCTTCTCCAGTCACACTTTGAGTGCCTTCCAACATGAGGGGCTCATTTTCCGGCACTATATTTGACAATGTTTGTCTGTTATTCATAAGGGTTTCAGTGACTAAATATTTGGAAGTAGTTCGTCACTGTTCCTTTCTAGTCTGTCTTTATCTGGAAGCTCATCTGAATCCTGTCCACCATAGAGGACCCTGCTGGTATTTAAAATACCGGTGGCATAGCTTCCAGAATCTCAGCAACTCACATACCACCACAATAGGACAAACTGACAGATGAGTGGTGGTTTTTGGGTGTTAGACTAGAACAAAGAGGAATTATCTTTATTTTATAATGAGAAAAAGAGAAACTTTTTGTTGCTCTCAATTATGATCAATTCTTGCGATCTTATCTTAATACACAAACCAAACCCAAGCCTACTGCTGTCTACTCAATACCAATCTTCACTGGTCCTGGAGGACAGAGTACAACTGTCCCATAGGATATTGAGGTGGTAAAGCTTTACAGAGCAGACTGCCTCATCTTCCTCCTGAGGAGCAACTGGTGGATTTAACCCACTGACCTTGAGGTTAGCAGTCCAGTGATTAACCCACTGCACCACCTTCACACCCTAATAGCTTCTGCAATATGGAACACAAAGAACTCTGGGTGGCTTTTTCATGATGAAACCTATCTATTTATTAAGGACTCTTTTTGTTTTTACTTTTAAAAAAAGAAAGAAAGAAACCAAGTCTAGTCCTTATACTATATGCTTTAAGTTTCACTTTTCTCTATCAGTAGGATTTAATAATGTGAAAATAATGGCTGTCAACTTAGATGCTAAGCTAATTATTACCAGGCAGCCCAACTGCATGATGCTATATGTTTACCTTTAAGTTGTTTCCCCATAATTCCTCCCTTTGAAAGCCATACTACCTGAAGGATAAAACATTTTTTTTATGAGAATAAGAATATTCCAAGTAGGAAGGGAGAGAAGGAAGAGGAGACATAGGGATGGGAAGGGAAGAGAAAGAAAGGGAAAGGAGAGAATAGAAAAAAGGCCCAGCTCACTTGAGCTGCCACTGTATCTTAACCTCATTGAAGTTATTTACAGAGTTAAGATCTGAAACAACTATACAAACATATCGAACATTTAGATACAAAAAGGAACATATAAGAATTTTATAAACAATAGGGAATGATTAACTCATAGTAATCAATTACGGAAAGCAAGATTTTCAGCTTGTCTCACTCTTATTAAGTTTTTTAATGTTCAGTAGGCTCTAAATTAAATATTTAAATTGTTCATTTATATACTTAAACTTTGAAGATCCAGGAAAAATCTAGTTATTATTTGATATTCTTTGAGTGGAAAAGTGTTGTGAAATATAAGACATACAAAACAAAACCTAAGCACAGTGTAATTTACATTTTAACTTTCCAAAAATTGAACTCTATGCTAATATATATATACATTTAGCTACCTATTATTGCTGGGTTTGAACTGCCAGTGGGTTTGAACTGCCTACCTTGTAGTTGAAACCAATCTCGCGATCTAGTACTTAGCCTACAGTGCCACACCAGGACTCCTATTGTTCATACATGCTCAACTGAATCAATCAACAAAAATTAAGCTCTCAAATAATGAGAACAGATGTTTACTCTGTTGTGGTTTGAAGGGGGAGTTCTCTACCAAAGTCTTTTTTGCCTCTTCTAGGAAAGTGCAGTCCCAATTCCCCATTTACTGCTCCATTTCTGATCCTGAGTGTAAAAGGAAGTGCTCTTCTTGCTCTTTTTCACAGTCCCTTCACACTTCTTTTACCATAAAAGCAACAGCCCATCCCTACAAGGGAAGCCTCCATTACCCAGCTGTGCTATGAGTGGGTAAGGAAATCTGTCTAATCCAGGGGTCAAGTATCGGCAAGCACATCTAAACCACATCCTCCAACAAGCTGCTATCAGGAGTATTTTGAACTCAATTTGTCTGACTCCTCTGAATAGCTCTATTAGTTCAGAAGGAAAAATAAACATAACAAAATATTAACTGCTGTGGTAATAATGAAAATGGCAGCACGATTTATTATCTAATAACATGGGAGAAAGATGAAATTTTCTGCTCCTGTAGAGTCTCAGAAACCCTATACAGGGGTCACTCCACAGCACTTAACAACAACAATATAATAAAATAATTCACACACAAGGTTAAAAAAAAAAACCCTGTGCAGAAAATATTACTAACCCTGTTTGGCAAATGAAGTTAGGCTCTAAAATACTTAATCACTTCATTAATATCCAACAGAAACAAGATTTCTGTTTGATTTCAAAATGTATTGTTTAATCTCTCTGTTGGGGTCCTGCTGTGGTGCAGTGGGTTAATGCGCTGGACTGCAAAGTCAGTTTGAACAGCAAGGTTGGTGGTTCAAGCTCACCAGCTGTTCCTCAGAAACCCCGTACAGGATCACTGTGGGTTGGAACTGACTCGATGGCACTTAACAACAACAACATGTACCCTCCCTTCATGGGCTGCAATATATTCATCTTATGTTTTTTTTCCATGTGTGAAAAAAAATGTTTTTTAATGAAATACCAAAGGCAGAGCTTAAAATCCACAAGTACATTTTACTACCAAAGGAGTTAAGATTGTTGTTGTTATTGTTGTTAGGTGCTGTTAAGTTGGTTCTGACTCATAGTGACCCTATATAAGGTTTTTGAGGCTGTACATATTTGCAGGACCAGAAAGACTCATTTTTCTCCCATAGAGTGACTAGTGGGCTTGAACCACCAACCTTATGGTTCTCAGTCCAGTGCTCATTGTATAGAACCACGATGCTCCCCAGAGTTAAGATTAGTGATGGTGGTAGTGGTGGTTGTATGCTATTGAGTCGATTTTGATTCATAGTGACCATGTATAGGGTTTCCAAGATTGTATAGATCTTTATAGGAGATCTTTATAGGAGCAGAAAGCCTCATCTTTCTCCTGTGGAGCTGCTGGTGGATTCCAATGGGTGACCTTGTAGTTAGTAGGCCAACATGCAACCCACTATACCAAGTTGAAAATCTAAAGCATTTTTCCAAATACATATTTTAATTTAATCAATTCTTTTCAGGGAATTAGATCTTTTTAAGTTAAAAACAAACAAACAAAATGCAACTTTTTGTTTTTTAGTATTTAAATGTCATATGCTCCTTCACCTCTGGAATATTGGAAACAATTTCAAAAGTGACTCCACAGCCAGGAATAGAACTTCGATGAGACATCTTTTTTAGAAGACTCTGAGCAAAACCCTAGAGAAAAACAAAACAGAAGATAAAGTTGTGAACCTCAAAAATTGTGTTTACAGTCACAAAGAAGTGGTATAAAGGCAATGTCTTCAATCTAACAAAGAGAGCTAAACAAAACAAGAGCATCTTTCCGATATGAGCCAGATCACCAAATCACCAAATACAGTTTCTCCAGTTTATTATATGCCTGCAGGATTTGATAGGTAGGTCCCATATCCAATACATGAAAACTACAGGCCCTAACTTCTGGAAATTGACACTAAACATTTCATTAGACTCTGCTTAAGTGCTAGAGAAATAAGACTATTGACTTCTGCACACACACAAAAATGACCTTCTAACTAAAAGACCAGCAAAAGCAAGGACTGGTGAGTCTTAACACTCTCCCCCTCTCTTTTTTTGGCAGCACAATGGACATCTTGTACCATGAATATTGACAAGTTCAGGCATTAAATTCTCTACCAAAGCAGGATCGTTATAAAGAATGATTTAAGAGTGCATGGTCATTGTTTATGCTGACTGGGCTCTTTGCACAGTTAGGAATTGAACTGTTGAATTAATGCATAGATGACTCATTTGAAGACACTGCTAAGACTGAACATCCTGTAGAGGTTGAAGAGAGCAGGGATGAGGGCAGAATACGTTGGTGAATAATGATAAGAAGAGAATATTAAACTGGCATTAAACCTTTTTCCTATACAAAATAAGTCAGAGATATGTGAAAACCTCCCAAAAGAAAAATAAATCTAAGAAATACATAACTGCACAAATCTATTTAACAATAACCTCTTTGCTACTCAGTGATCATTAGTTAATTTTTAAAAAGATTTTGATTCTGACACTGCAAACATACCATTTATTTTACTCTCTCAACTTTAGCAACACAATACTCAACTACTGACAGGCTGGGTGAAATGCAGCTACAGGTTTTTTACATGGGTGATTGAGGAAAGTGTAAAAAATAGCATTATGTTAATGCTTTTGTTTTCTATTTGTATGGAACTAGTAAGACTGACTTCAATGTAATAGGGTGACAAGAAAGTCCCTGTTATTGCTATAAGAAAGCATGTTTTAGTGATGATATACCAAAAATTGCAAGGAAAAAATGGTATGTCATAAAATATTTCCAAATCCTTTCAACCAAGGAAAAATCTGACACCTCTTCCCTACCACAATCCAAAAAGGAACCTAGTGACTCCACAATGCAACTTCTATGCTAATGATATTGTAGGAATGGCAGTTTTACCAGATAGGTCCCAGTGCCTAGCAACCAGGATCTCTAATCTTAAAATGGAAAATTACTCTTAAAATGCTTCCCATGGGCTACATGTCTTTTTAGATTCCTTCCAGACTTAGGAAAAAGGGGAAACAAAGAGAGAGTGAATGGGAGACATACCATAAACATCTATAGCTAACCCTATGACCTGGATTTTATTGATGTTGGATTGCCAAGCTAAAGAGCTGCAATTTTAACAGTGTTAATGCCAGTCTTCATTTCAAAGATTGATATCAGTGTGACATTTAGAACTAAAGATTAATTTTTAGGGGTGGAGATTACATCTAGCAGTCTGTCAGCCATGAATGTGCTCTTTAAATGAAAAGATTTATTTTCATCCAGGGTTTCAAACCAGTTCTTCCCAGTTCAGACATGGTTAATGAAGCGAAACCAGAACAGAACTAAATTTGTAAAATGTGGGTGTACTGGAACAATAATCAGAATGGGAAAATTATGGGTGATATCTTGCTAAAATGTAAGCTCCCTCTAAAAAACAAGGGTAGTGTGCACAATGCATAGAAAAAAAAGTTCTTAATTAGCAGAGATGGAAACAACACTTGCCAGGCTCAAATATGGCAACTGAACACAACCTCTGAATGAATGTCACTTTCTACTGTCCTGGAAATAATTCAATCTCCCATATTAGGCTCCCCAAAAGGCTCTTAACACCTCTACCCACTCTCCCATCTCAGGGCTTCAACTGTAATTTTTCTCATTCTGGCACACCCTCATTTTACAAAATCAGGTCTGTTTAGATTTTGCTGTGTCGGCCATGAAAGAACCAGATCGAAGCCTTGTATTCATCTGCACTGGTTTTATTCAATGTAGCTTTATTATTCCGAGATTGTCTCAAAAAGTAAAAGCAGTTAAAAAGTTCTAGAATAAACCTCCCAAATGCTTATACATTAAAAATGAATTACAATTTAGATGCTTACCTACAAGTTTGCTACCAAACTCCTTCATATTGTACAAGGTCCAAAATAATCTAGCTGCAACTACATTTACAGCCATGTCCTTTGGCATATACAGTACATCTCATCACACTCTGCTTCTCACTGTTCCCCAAACCTGCCATGTCTTTTCCTTCTCCACTATGTCTGTATACTATTTCCTCCTCTTCATTGAATACCTCTCTTTCAGCTCTGTCCATCAGACTCCTCTTGACTTTAAACTATGAGCTCAAATGCAACTCTATTCTATGAAACCGTCCCTGACTTCTTCAGTCCAAATCCATCATCCTCTCAACTGTAATCTCACTGCTTTCTGGGTGCACTGACACTGTAGCACATATCACAATCAGAGTGTTGTTGTTACTGTAGTTAGGTTAAGTAGGTTCTGACTCAGAAAGACCTTGAAGTACAAAAGAATGAAACACTGCCCAGTCCTGTGCTGTCCTCAAAAATCATTCTTTTTAGTCTATTTTTGCAGAGTAGTTACCTGTTTATGTATCTACATATGCAAACACACTTAGTCACTAAAAGGACAAGAACTAGCTCTTATTCACCATCTTATTCTGAGCTTAACTGACAGAGCTCATTCTTCAAATGTAAGAATCAAAGAATTACCCTAACAACAAATGAAGTCCTAGGATTAGCCTAGATCCAGCCATAGTCCCAACCCGAAGCCTTACTCCTACCCTGAACCAAAAAAAACAATCAAAGAATTAGCAGAGATGCGTGAAAGAAAGAAAGGATTGAAAAGAGTAGGGCAAGAAACACAATGCTACTGAGGACTGAGGGTGGCGCTTCCTGGACCAGGCAGCTCAGATAGGGCTCCGGGGAAAAGGGGCAGAATCGCACATAGAAAACCTCTGTATAGCAGACAGCCTTTGAATAAACATAAGATCTTATATTTCAACATTCTGAACTCATTTTTTTAAAAGATCAAATTGCTGAGGAATTACAGGCATTTTAAGCTTTTGCCTGCCTGCCTGCAGCTCGTGCTTCTGCGCCCACGCCGGAGAGTGCCTCTGCCCCCTGCAGACCTTGGAATGCAGAGCTAGAGCAACCCCATTTAGAAGGCTGCATTTCCAGAGAAAAGGAAACATAAACTAACAAAACCGAACAAATAGAGAGGGATACCGACGCGGATATCAGGAAATTTGGGGTACCCACAGTACAGAGAGACTGAGAGAGGCATTTTTTACGTCATCAGATATGGACAATACCTCCCTACAGCCATTAGCCCCAGCCCACTACTGCTCCGGCCTAACCAGCCCTCTGTCAAGCCGCCAAGGCTCAGGAACGCCCAAGACACAGCCCCGCCCACTGAGGCCAAGGCCCTCCCAAGGCCCAGACACTCGCACTGAGGCCAAGGCCTGCCCTGAGGCCCAACCCACCCACAGACTGGTCACAAAGGCCCAGGCCCAACCAAGGCCAAAATCGCCTACTCGCGACCGCCATGTAGCCAGGTCGCTGAGGCCCAGGGCCCCTGAGACCCAACCCGCCCTCAGCCGGGTCCCTGAGGCACAGGTCCCCCGAGGCCCAATCCATCCAACCCGCACACTGAGGCCCAAGCCCCATGATGCCCAGCTGCTGATACCCAAGCCCCTGAAGGTTCAAACCACCCGCCCGAGACCCAACCCTCCTGCAGCCCGGTTGCTGACGCCAAGGCCCTCAGAGGTCCAAACCACTCGCCCTAGGCTCAACCCACCAGCCCGAGGCCCAAATGGCCCACCGCCAAGGCCCAGGCCCAACTGAGGCCCAAAAAAAGTTACTCTGAGTTAAGCAATAAGGAGTGTGAAAAGGAAGACCACAACCTGATCACACCTTCCTGTAGGTAATCAGAAAACATAAAAAATTACCAAAACACATAATTAATTACTAGAGCCACAGATAAACATTAAACATGTCCAAGAACCAAAAGCAGATTACCATATCGGCACATGTCCAGAAAAAAGATAAAATATCTGAGACAAATGAACCAGAAGTAGATGTTCTCTCCATGCTGGAAGGAGGGCAGGCCTTGGAGATACCTGAGAAAGAATTCAGAAAAATGAGTATAAAATGTCTCAAAACACTTTACAATTGGAGTTGAGAAAAATAAGGAAAAAGTCAGAAAAGCGCTACAAGAACAATCAAACAAGTAGATACAGCATTGGTAACAATCCAAAACCTACAGAAAGAGGTCCAAACAATCAACAACAAAACAGCGGATATAGAAAACTCCCTGAAAGGGCAGAGGAATAGAATAGATGAGATGGAAGGAAGAATCAGTGAGCTGGAAGACAAATCTCTCAATACCACTAAGATAGAAGAACAAACCCAAAAAAGGGTAAAAAATTCAGAGGAAGGTCTAAGATTCATGTTGGACAACATGAAGAGGAATAACCTAAGAATTATTGGCATTCCAGAACAAAATGAGTCACACAAGTCCACAGAAGAAACAGACGAAGAACTACTGAAAGAAAATTTCTCTAACATCCTCAAGGGCGAAAAGGTAGACACCCAAGAAGCCCACCGAAGTCCAGGAAGGGTGGACCCCAAAAGAAAATCACCAAGACATATCATAGTCAAGCTCTCCAAAC